TTTCATTTTTCTGTTGGTTGGCTTGGAAGAACAAAATTAAGTCAGAAGAATTTATGCTCAGAATTGGTATGTTAGACCCATCTGTTTCCATCAGTTGCACCTTCTGTGGCTTTGAATCTGAATCAGCCACACATGTCTTGCTTCACTGCCCCTTTTCATGGCAGATTTGGTCTTCAATTATTCATGAATGGGGGCTTTCTTGGTGCATTCAAGATTCAGTTGATGGCCTTCTTCAATGGTGGATGAGAGTAAACTTCAATCACTTTGATAGATTAATTTGGAGAGCTATCCCGCTCATTGTTCTTTGGTCGTTGTGGAAGTGTAGGAACGAATGTATTTTCGAAGAGGCTCAACCAAATATTTCAGATTTGAGTGAAACTATCAAAGTCAGAGCTGCAGTATGGCTGAAAGCAAACATCAAGGACCTTCCCTTCTCTGTTGATGATTTAACCTTCAACTGGAGGCAAATCAGAGCTGGGAATTCAAATCCTTAGATGGGCTGCCTTTGCCAGAGCTTCTTTGGGCCATGTTTTGCCAGAGCTTCTTTTCTGCTGGGTTGGACTTTGATCTGCTGGTTATCAGTTGGGTTTGTTTATCTACTGGTGTTAATCTGGTTTATCAGTTGGGGTTGCTGATCTGTGGTGCTATCAGTTGGGGTTGCTGATTTGAGGTGCTATAGTGTTGCTGATCTGGGCTTGTATATGAGCTGTTGGGGTTGTTGATCTGGTTGGTTTGGTGATAGTCAGTTTCTCTGCCCTGTTTCTCTGTTCAGCATTATCAGTTGGCCAACTTTATTGTCTCTTTGCTTGGCTTTGTTCAGCATTATCAGTGGCTTTGTTCATCTCAGTGCAGTTCTGTGGTGCTGGTCTGTGATTTTTTTGGCTGTTATGTTGATCTTAACTCTGGTGCTGTTATGTTGCTTGGGTCCATTTGGCTGTGTTGCTGTCTCTTGGGTCCAGCAGTTGAGTGGTGGTCTGAGTGAAGGTCTACTTGTTAAGCTGGTTTTGAGCCAAAAGGGGCTAAGATTTTAACACTCCGAAGGATTGAATTATGGTTCTGTCTGCTGCTGTATGAGAACTCTGCCATAAAATGCTCCCTCCACTGTATGTGAATACCTCTGTTTTGGCTGATTTTTGCTGCAGTGTTACAACCTCTGGGAGTTTTTGGTTATGCTTCTTGTTATTTCCTCTCATTTTCTCTTTGTTGGTTTCTCACCAACTGGCGCTTTTCAGGCCCAAGCTCCTCTTTATTGATGTAAACTTCATTCCTTGAATGTTTTTTCAATAAAGATTTTCTTTGCCGATCAAAAAAAAAATTAATTGTAATTCATTCTCTCTCTCTCTTTCATGACCTCTGTGTTTTGTTTCTCACATTGTTCCTGTTCCTAGGCATGTGATGCATATAACAATGGGAATCCTTTAGAGTAATGCTCTCCTAAAAGTTCTATCAAATATCTCACATAGGTGTCGGACCTAGACAATGTGAGTCTCACACCCATGTGAGACATTTGATAAAATTTTTAATAGAATTTTGAGATATGTAACATTTTTAAATCCTTTAATAGTTGACGATGACAGGTTTGATAGAGCGGATGTAAACTTTATGCACCTGATTTGTAACCACACATCCAATCAATGTCGATCACAATCCTTCCTGAAAAAATCTAAATCCCTAATATATTGATTTGTGATTATGTATCAATTTTAAACAGTAAATAACAATTTCAATCAAACAATCAAAAACGAATCAACACAACGATTTAACGTGAAAAAAACACAATTGGAGCGCCTCCAATTGCAATAAAAAAATCACGGGCCAAAACCACAAAACAATTCACTAAGAAGACCAAAAGGAACTAACAAGTGTACCATCAATTACCTAACGAATCCATGCCTGAATTGAACCGACCCCAATGTGCCTTTTCCACCACCATCTTCACCTTGGACTTGTCTTGCCCAATGTTGAACCCACAACGTTGATGTCGAATGTACGACGATGAGTCACTCTAGAATCCACCAAAGCTTCAGGCCCGAATTCTCCAAAATCCACCAAAAAATAACTTTCTCTTTTGTATTGAATGAAACAAACAATCCTTTGATGTATACTTCTCAAACCAAGAGTTAAACTCGAACAAATATCAAAGAAACTGACAAAGAAACTCTAGATAAAAATCCTAATATCCAAAAAAAAGATTTGGAAGCTGTACCCTAGAAACTGAATTAATCGCAAACTTATAGAAAACAAAATCACGATCTCCGCTCAAGTGCGGAAATGGCCGCTCGAGCGAGCTGACTAAAACGCGTGTTTCAGAACACGGATCTACGCTCAAGCATAGGAAGTGCCGCTCGAGCGCAAAAACACAACTCCCAGTACTTTTACAGATAGCTCAAACTTTTGAAACCAAAGATTCTTTGCTCAAGCACACAAATGGCCGCTCGAGCGGTCAAGCAACTTCGACTGCATTTTTACTTCAAGGGCATTACTCCTCGACCCCGACATATTCAGCAAAGTGGCAAACATGAAAGAATTAACATCACAAACTCCTTTGCAAAGACACAATTAGGGTTTGATTCGCTTCTAAATACTCATAGCCTCACTGAAATAAAAGAACGAATAAAATTACGCCTGAAAGGAGTTTTGTCAAATGGAATTGCCAATAACAAAAACCTAACACTTTCCAACACATCATTGTGGGAAGGCACCTCATTGACAACTTATTGGAAGTAACAAAATGAACTTCTTGAATAGTTGGCAAGTAAATCAATGGCTCAAAAAATAAAATTGGAGCATTTGGTCAAACAAATATAATTCCTATTTTTGGAGTTAAATGTAAAAATATACATATTTGTTCATATTTTAAATTTAAAAATACAAATGTATATGCATATGCTCATTTTCTAATTTGAAAATGCAATTATATAAATATATGTTCCCATTTATTAATTTCAGAATGCACAAATATAAATATTTATTTCTGGTTTTTTTAATTTAAAAGTACGTTAATATAAATATACACCCTCATTTATTAATTTAAAAGTGCAAAGTTACAAAAATTTGTCCTCTTTTTTTAACATAAAAGTGAAAACACAAAATGTAGGATAAATATTACGCAGTAGATAAACAGATTCAAGCATAACTTTTATCTGTTGAATCCAAAACAATGAAACTTAGGGTGAATCACGTGTTTCAAAATCATGAATTCGAACCTCCTAGCAGTGAAGTGATTACTACGGTGTGAGTATCATCCTCACAATCCACTGTACAAAGGCTACTGTTCTTGAATGACAGAGAGATAGAGATTTTTGAATGATATTTGATTAATCAAAATACGTTATACGCATTTGATTTGGTCACCAAAGAATCCCTAACTACTCACATTTTTATCTTCCTGATGAGATGGGTTTGTTAGGCTCATATCCTTATCCTTTGGATAAGGTGGTTAATTCAAATTATATGGGTCTCTTGATGGGTCATGGGTCATGCCACCATGGGCGTCCAAACCTTGGTCCGAACCCTTCAAAACCCTCGAGCAGCTAGGCTTTCAACAGCAACACTTCTTCGACAATGACAGTGAGTGAAAGTTTTTCTAACAATTCCAAATACCATGAGATGAATGGAGCATCATAATGTAAGCTCGGAGGAGGTTCATAGCTTGGATGATATTCGTAGCTCGGAGGAGGTTGATCTTGTATAATAATAAATTTTTTAAAAAACAAAGAACAACAAAAAATTAAAAAAAAAAATGCGAAAAACTATGTCTTTTTTTGGGTACTGAACTCCCAAACATATGTGGAAAAAAATGGCACTACAAGGCTGAATTAAAGGCATTAGTTCGGCAACGTCTAACCGAATATTATTAATATGTTCGGCACTTATCCAAACTTTTTTATTCATATATTCAGCATTTTGGATGTAACCTTAATGCATACTTATGTTTTGGTTATATGATGAACTTTAGTTTTATTTGTTAATCAAACTGGTTGATGCATACTTATCTTTGCTTGTTAAACTTTGATGGCTCAAACTTGTTCACAAACGCAGGACTTTACATTTTTATAATGTTTGGTAACACATGTCCAAACATGTACAAATTATTTCGTAACATAGGTCTAAACATAAGTAATTTGTTCAGCAACACAGGTCCAAACATGACGACGGAGAGATCGATGACAGAGAGAGATCGTCTTCGACTATGATAGAGATCAACAACGGTGATAACAATGGCACAACTCTCTCAACGGTCAGAGAAAGATTAGTGAGTTCAACAGTGAGAGGAGGATTGGTGAGATCAACTGTTATGAGTTTTGGGAGATAGAGGGTTTTTAGGGGTGTGCATTTTGATGGGTTTGATGTTTTTAGAAGGATAATTTTAGTATTATTTTGGGGTTGTTAGAAATTTCTAGGGTTTTAAATTTTATAAGTGGGGGTCTAAAGTATTAATTAGGGTACCAATAGTAACACTCCTTAAAATTTGAAATTCTAAGGACTTTAATTAGAAAAAAACTTTTGGTGCGTAGAAATTTGACGCAAATATATAGGGAGATGTATTTCTAATTTTTTGTTTATATAAATAAATATTTGTCCTCATTTTTTTTTGTCGTGCGAAAGTTATATATCATTTTATGATTTATGTTGTAAAATTTTATTGTGTTGTTAGGAAGTGCATATAATAGCATCTCCTAATTTTGTAAGCGGTTCACAAGTTTTCAAAAATAAAAATAAATAGTGGTACTATACGCACCAATTGGTATATTAATTAGTATACTAATATAGTTATGACATTGTCATTTTAAAACTATGAGCCCACCCATTATACAAATTGCAAAGACCCAAAACATCTAAAGTTATGTCACGTCATCCGTTAGTATACTAATTGATATATCAATTTATGCATATAGCATTATTCAAAAATAAATACTAAACTACATTTTTCTTAAAATTTTAACCCAATTTTTATAAATATAAACAGAAAATTAAAAGTTGTTTAAGAAAGACCGTACAGTTGAGTAACTCTGCATGTTGCTTTGTAACAGACGCAATACACTTCAAAGGTTGACTTTTTGTTGCAATCGGAAGCTGAGAAATTGTTACTAGCATCATGAATTGATGTCCTTTCAATGTATCCTAATATGGCATTGATAGCATCCACTGCAAATGAATCGAGGCACATGAACGAACAACACCATAAATAAATAAATAATTGTAAGATTTAATTTTGTTAACAAATATCAATTTAAACTCAAGTTTTAAAATATTATAAATTCTAGCCATTTGTTAGTTAATAAGAACAACTAAAATAATTAAATTACTTTTTGCCTGTGATGCTGGATGACGGTGGCGATTATGGACCAAGGAAGTAATGAGATGGGTGACAGTGAGCTGGAGAATGAGAGAAGTAGCGTTGTATGAAAAAAAAATGATAAGAGGGATGACACTAGATTGGGAAAGAGAGAGGGTGGTGATGAACGACGATAAAAGTTGAAAGTAATTATCAACAAAAATAAAGGGAAAGAAAAGTGATTAAATTATCTATATAGTCAATTCTCTAGTAATTACACCTAACGAATACAAACCCGTTAGAATTAATACTATTTTAAAAGTTTAGGATTTAAATTAAAATAATTAAAAAATGTAAAATTTAATTTGTTACTAAGATCAAATCTTACAATTTTTTTTTTCTTTTGTAGTTTCTTCAATAAATAAATATGATTGATTTGATTTTAGAAGCAAAAACAAATGCGTTGAAAAAGAAAAAGGAATATATATACACCCAAGCGTTTTTTACGGTAATGATTGGTGGCCACAAATTTTGTAATTCAAATAATTTGAAAATGCCAAAACGACGTCATTTTGGGTACAAAACGACGTCATTTTGGGTACAAAACAACTCCGAAAATGCCAAAACGATATCGTTTTGACATTTTCGGGCCATTTGAATCACAGAATTTGTGGCCACCAAATATTTTCCCGTTTTTTATCCATGCAAATACGTGAGTTATATAAATAAAAAATTAAAAATTCAAGTAACAATTATTAACCGTTATTATTTTATGAATTAATTTTTAAGTGATAATGGAATTATGGATAGATTAAAAAAAAATATGATAAAGGGTATTCTTTACGTACAAAAAAGTATAAGTTTCGAGTTGTATAATAGTACCAACTAGCACACGTTATTTTAAAAATATATATATATATATATATAAACAATTAATGTGTATTAAAATAAAAATATTTATAAAAAAATTAAAAGAATTGCAGTGTCCCCTACCATGTCCGTGTCCAGTCACTCACACGCATGCAAGGATGCTAAAGCATAAACATTACCGAGTACTCTGAGCCAAAGAAAAAAGCTAATTAGAAATCATGCATGAATCCTAACTATACTAAGAATGCCTAATGCAAACACATGCAAAAATGCAACTACGATAGGCTCGGCTATTCTAAGATGGCATATGAAATGCTACAAAAA